CTTTAGAAATGCTGAACTCCTTGTTCTGTATGCACGGTTATTATTATTGACGAGTTAGTAGGCTACTTTGCATAAACGAATGAGAGACTGAACACCAAGTAGAGCATTTGTCTTGCACAATAACTGATTGTGAACAACCTACAAAAATGAAACTGCGGTTTTGTCCAACTGGAATTAATATTAGGCTACTAATGGTAAGTTATAGTATAGTAGTAGATCATAGTAGACTATAGCCTACTATGATCTGAAATTATAATGAATACACAAACAATAGCACTAATCAAACCTTAACCACAGTGGTGTAGGCTAATATCAGAGAAAGGTTTTATTAGTGAAACAGCTGAATCTCAACTAATAAACTATCTGTAGGCAAATTATTCAAATCAAGTGTAACCTGTAAATATATTATTATACTAACATTATACTTTACTTGTATACCTTTACTCCTCCAGGTTGTGGATATACTTTGTTTATCAAATGGTCAGAAATGAAAAGAAAATGCGTATATTTCGGTCATAAGGTTAAGTCATTGCCTTTAGTGTATGTTATGTACCAGCCATGCTTACTGTCGCGCAAAGTCACCCCCCATAGCCCCATTCTGAGCCAGGAAAAACCCTGGTAAGTTGTCGATGAATGACCAGTATGTACTTAAAATAGGAAATAGCCTTCTTGAGTAAATGCTTTGCCTCTAAGTTCTGTTGAAACTGTTTGTCAATATGTGAATATGACTGCAATAAGATGTATCTCTTGTTGCCTCTACACAGCCTACCACTAACACAGAAGAACACAGTCAGTCCCTACAGTCACTACTTCAGAAAAAAGCCCCACAGATTCTTACAGAGTATGAGACTACAGGTATCCTGTCAGTGCCATTGAAGAAGCTCCTTCTGAAGACGTGCATAGGAGATTTGGTGGAGAGGTGTGGTTTGTAAGTATCTATTTTTCTTAATTTTGTAAGTAAGTTTCTTTTTTTTACCTTATCTGGTCAGTTGTTTGATGTGTTTTATTGTCTTTGCTCATGTAAAGGCACTTTGTTACATTGTTTGGAAACATGCTCTAAAATGTTTATTATTATTGCACCATACCACACTTTGGCATGAATATGCCAAAAAAATATTTTGCACTTAAACAAAAACAACAGTATTCCTGTGTCACTGATTGAGGAATTGGCAATGTTTTTGTCCTATTTTCTAGTTATTCTCTTAGTGCAGACAAGCTGGCTATAGCGAAAAGCATCATCACCACCTTCAGTGTCAGAGTAGGGGGACAAGGGGATGAATTTGTAAGTAGTAGTTTGTGTAATAGTTTTTAAGTACTAGTATTTTTGTAATGTAAATTCCGCGCTCCTCTTCAGTCTAATTTAGAATAAAACTCTGCTGCCAAGCTTCTAACAAACCAAATGCTGCACATGATTTTGGCATTATTATACTGGTTCCCAGTTTGTTTTAGAATTGATTTTTTTAAAATAATATTAATTACACCATAAGGCTCCAGAATACATTGTTGAACTTACTGTGCTTCAAGAGGTCATCAGATCAGTGCAGTATCCTGAGTGTTTTGTAGGTGAAGATAATCATATATCTACAGTGGGTACGGAAAGTATTCAGACCCCTTTAAATTTTTCACTCTTTGTTTCATTGCAGCCATTTTCCAAAAATCAAAAAAGTTCATTTTATTTCTCAGTAATGTACACTCAGCACCCCATCTTGACAGAAAAAAAAACAGAAATGTAGAAATTTTTGCAAATTTATTAAAAAAGAAAAACTGAAATATCACATGGTCATAAGTATTCAGACCCTTTGCTCAGTATTTAGTAGAAGCACCCTTTTGATCTAATACAGCAATGAGTCGTTTTGGGAAAGATGCAACAAGTTTTTCACATCTGGATTTGGGTATCCTCTGCCATTCCTCCTTGCAGATCCTCTCCAGTTCTGTCAGGTTGGATGGTAAACGTTGGTGGACAGCCATTTTCAGGTCTCTCCAGAGATGCTTAATTGGGTTTAAGTCAGGGCTCTGGCTGGGCCATTCAAGAACAGCCACGGAGTTGTTGTGAAGCCACTCCTTCGTTATTTTAGCGGTGTGCTTAGGGTCATTGTCTTGTTGGAAGGTAAACCTTCGGCCCAGTCTGAGGTCCAGAGCACTCTGGTTGCAATCGAGGGAAAGATGAATGCGGCCAAGTACAGGGATATCCTGGACGAAAACCTTTTCCAGTCGTCCTGTCCCTGCAGCTGAAAAACACCCCCACAGCATGATGCTGCCACCACCATGCTTCACTGTTGAGACTGTATTGGACAGGTGATGAGCAGTGCCTGGTGTTCTCCACACATACCGCTTAGAATTAAGGCCAAAAAGTTCTATCTTGGTGTCATCAGACCAGAGGATCTTATTTATCACCATCTTGGAGTCCTTCAGGTGTTTTTTAGCAAACTCCATGCGGGCTTTCATGTGTCTTGCACTGAGGAGAGGCTTCCGTCGGGCCACTCTGCCATAAAGCCCCGACTGGTGGATTGCTGCAGTGATGGTTGACTTACTACAACTTTCTCCCATCTCCTGACTGCATCTCTGGAGCTCAGCCACAGTGACCTTTGGGTTCTTCTTTACCTCTCTCACCAAGGCTCTTCTCCCCCGATAGCTCAGTTTGGCCGGACGGCCAGCTCTAGGAAGGGTTCTGGTCGTCCCAAACGTCTTCCATTTGAGGATTATGGAGGCCACTGTGCTCTTAGGACCCTTAAGTGCAGCAGAAATTTTTTTGTAACCTTGGCCAGATCTGTGCCTTGCCACAATTCTGTCTCTGAGCTCTTCAGGCAGTTCCTTTGACCTCATGATTCTCATTTGCTCTGACATGCACTTCTTCTTCTTCTTCTTCTTCTTCTTCTTGTAAGATTCCGGAAGTATGGACGCCTATGAGCGTATTACTGCCCTCCACAGGTCAAAGTTTGAACTAAATTCTTACATACAGTCCTGTGTCATGCAAGAATTGAAGGACTGCCTTGGAGATCAGTTTATGCTCGTCACTGTGCCCAAACAAAGATAAAACAGAAAAAGCCTCAACTCCAAGTCCTGACAGTTTATTAACGAGTACATTTCTTTCTGCCCTATACTTTCTGCATTCCAGGAAAACATGCCCCACTGTCTCAACACTCCCACATTCACACAAGCCCGAAACATGCTTCCCTACCATGCACAAAGAATAATTTAATCCACAGTGCCCCAACCTCAATCTGCACATTTTAACTGAGTCCCTGCGGGACAAAATATTACATAAACATCTCTTCCTAACTTTGGGTTGTATAGAAAAGTAGTGTCTGCCTCTAATTTAGTTTTCCCACCCTCTCTGCCATTCTTTTATTAAGCCCTCTTTAATTCTTTCTCTCAATTCCACTCTCCCTAATAATACATGGACATCTACTTCTCTTCCTAAGCTCTCTTTTGCAATATTATCCACTCGTTCGTTCCCCCTCACCCCAACGTGCCCGGGAACCCAGCAAAAACTGATGTTGCAAATAAACCTAGTTCTAAAAACCACATTCAAGATGTCATTTACAATGTCAGGTCGGGCTTTAGATTTTCCTACTTTCAAATTTTCTAGAGCACCTGTAGAATCAGAGCAGATAATGACTTCCTCAATCCACCATAGAGCCCATAAAATTGCCATTAATTCAGCAGTGAGGACAGAGCTTCCATTAGAAATACGCCAACCAATTTCCAACCCTAACTGCTCCACATACACCCCGAATCCAGCTCTCCCACTAACTGGATCTCTAGATCCATCTGTATAAACAATCATTGTACTCCCACTAATTGAATTAAGATATTCCTCTATTTTTAGTGCCACTTCCCACTTATCTTTTCCCTGAAGAAAACCAAGCTCGATATTTATTTCAGGCATCACCCAATATGGTATTGGTGGCCAACTTATATGCTCTACAGTACCTCCCTGATCCATGCACATCTTACCTGCCCACTGATTTACTATGCTCTGACATGCACTGTGAGCTGTAAGGTCTTATATAGACAGGTGTGTGGCTTTCCTAATCAAGTCCAATCAGTATAATCAAACACAGCTGGACTCAAATGAAGGTGTAGAACCATCTCAAGGATGATCAGAAGAAATAGACAGCACCTGAGTTAAATATGAGTGTCACGGCAAAGGGTCTGAATACTTATGACCATGTGATATTTCAGTTTTTCTTTTTTAATAAATTTGCAAAAATTTCTACATTTCTGTTTTTTTTTCTGTCAAGATGGGGTGCTGAGTGTACATTACTGAGAAATAAAATGAACTTTTTTGATTTTTGGAAAATGGCTGCAATGAAACAAAGAGTGAAAAATTTAAAGGGGTCTGAATACTTTCCGTACCCACTGTATATTTTATGGTAACTTTAATCACATGATTATTTTTTAAGGGTTGGTCTTACTACTCTACAACATATATCTTCCATAGCCTAAAACCACAGCCTTTGGTTTCAATTAAAATTGCCTGGCAAATGTCTAATCTGTTTGCCTGCGACCCACATACCACTAAGGAGAACTGAAAAAATTGTTGTTCACTGATATCACCTTCCATTCTCAGGAGCATTACTATGATCCAGTCTCTCACTGTGGATTCCTAGAGACTAAACTCCGCAACCTCAGACGCAATCTCAAGCAAGGGCAGAGGCGTTATAGGAAGCGAAAAGTGACCAATGACTGCACTGGACCTGAGAAACCTGATGCAACAGAGAATGAGCATGCCAGTGTGATGCCCAGTAGAGTGTAATCACATTGGTGTTTGATTTTATGGTATAAGATAAGCTAAAGGTATATCTGTATTTTATTTTCTTTATTTGAAGAGGATTTTATGTGCTGTAAAACAAGTAAGATGGCTTTGGAAATGTGAAAGATTGGCCTGCTGTAGCAGCCTCCCGGCAGTAGGTGGCAGTGTGAGACTGTGGTTTACCATCAGGGACCATGATCAAGAGCGCATGCTCCGCTGTTTTCCCTCAATAAGTGCGGAGATTTCAGCGAGGAAACACCACGTCTCTCTCTGTCTCACCCTTTTTCCTGTATTTCAGGTTAGTAATGTGTTAGAACATGACATAAATCGCTGTAGGTTGTTAGTGAATGCTGAGAGATAAGTTGAGTTAAAGTATAAGAGTAAAATGAGCAGGTTTTGGAGATACGGTTTCACATGAGGCCCGCCGAGAGTAACGATAGCGGCGCGGTTTGCTCTGTTAATAGCATGTTAGCGTAAGATGCTAGTGTGGGCCACACTTCTCCACTGTTTTAGGTTAGAATAATATACTGGCTGGCTCCATAAACGATATGTAGCATGTTGGAATATTTTGGAAATGGTGTTATGTATTTATATGTTTTAGTGATGAATACTGTTATACTGTCAGCGAGTCAAGAGTCATATTTCGTGGCGTCAGAGTATCCAGTGTATTTTGCACTGCAGTAATAGCCAAAAGTATTTGGACAGACGAATATGGAAATGGTTGTGAAATGTGTATAATTTTGTGCTTGGAGTTTTATTGCATGTTATTTTAAGAACATGAACAATGTGTCCAAGAAGACAAGGCATGTACGGTACTGATAAATACTGAGAAATTGAAACAAAGACGATTCTGATGGTATAAAGGAAATGTAAATCAATAAATAACTGCAGAGATTTCTGCAAGGAAACACCACGTCTCTCTCTGTCTCACCCTTTTTCCTGTATTTCAGCTGCTTATGGGTGCCGCTGCCCGGTACCCGTAACACCAGCAGCACAAATGAGTGGGCCACCTTGATTAAACGGTTGCGGCACTCAGCTGAGAACCTTTCAGCGGTCAGGCATGGAGAAAACCTACACCTGACGCAGATCCTGGATTACTAAGGATCTCCCACTGTTGCCAAAATATTCAATGAGTACCCACGGTTTTTGGACACGCCAAGTCTGGTACGTTGCTCCCTTCCTTGGTGACTGGCTTATTTAGTCCCACTCCTCTCAAATGGGATGAACTCACAAAGGATTGCGTGGCTTCTGTGCAGCAAATATAAAACAAAAGAAACCATGCAATTCCAAAGTACCAGCAAAGGGTGACATGCACACCTAACTGTGCTTCACAAACATTAGCGCTAACAGCCACATGCAGTTAAGTGAAATTATTTGTGTCACACCAGGGTTTTTCCTGCACAGAGGAATTTTTTGCTTTTGTTATGATAAATTCTCTCTGAATGTATTTTGATAGCATTTTATCAAACCACTGTTGAGCAAGCAAAGCATAAACTTAAATACAACATCTTTGACTTCAAGAAGTCAACCCTCCTCCCATCCACAGCTGCTATATTTTACGCATTGCAGCTTGATTTAAAAGCCAGCTGCTGGTTTGACTGCGCCTGAACGCTCCGTTACAAAGCTAGCACTAATTGGAGAGATGACTTCTTGTCTTTTTATTTCTCACAATTTAAGAACACTTAATAAAAGGTAAAGTAAGTACCAGCCCACTTCAAGCACTGCTCACAGCAGGTGATCCATAGTGTGCGTGCAGTCAACACTGACTAGGAGCTATGTACAGCGTGGTAACTTCCACAAAGCAGCTGTATTCTAACATTAACATAGCTATCGCTAATAGCTTATTTGAAGGTAGGTTCCTGAAATTGCAGTGTGTTGGACTGATTTGTGCAGCAGTGTTCATGATAACTAACGTTAACCATCGATTGCGAATCTTAACTGCGCAGAAAAGCCAGCAACAAGTCTTTCTTCAGCACATTAGAATGTTCTAATTTAGACTGTGGACAAAGAATAGGGGCTGTTCACAGATGGGAGGTGCGCATAGCTCTACAATTAAACTTCAACCCATTTTAAATGGTAACAAAAATTTAAATTCAAAATCAATATATGGCAGTCAGCTTTGATATTGTGGTGGGCCTCCACAAATAAATCAATGTATGCCCATCAATGCACTGCAACACTGCATTTTAACTAGCATGCCTTATGTTAAGTCAGTTCTGCGCAGCACCGCATGAATTCAAACGCACCAAATGAAAGATGTTTTCAGCTTACTACGGTGCCACCAAGTGGCCAAAATATGAAATAAATACAGCTTTATTTTTCAGTTCCCTGATTTAATGCTGTGAGTTTGTTAATATTTGGTAGGTTGATTGTAATGGGTTTTTATTCTCCTCTGTGTAAGCTGGACTCAGAGTTTGGCAAACTTACAGGTGGAAGGACGGACCTCTTTTTACGAAGATGGGGGAGGCCAACATCATTCCCAAACTCAAATCAGTGGCTCCCTTGGAACCAAGAATGTCCAATCTGTTGAAGGATATTGAAGAGAAAACTGAAGGTATTTTATGTAAACAAACCCTCCAAATCAGAAATAATTAAGAAGCCTTGAGTGTGATACTAGAAAGTTAACAAAAACAAAAAACCCCATCAAATGACGTTGTCTTTTTCTTGGCTATTAAACAAGTGAATGTTAAAAATACATCACGTGAATTATTTAAAAAGGAGTTATACATTTAAATTTTTTTTCTTCTTTTAATAAATGTTTGGCTGCCTATATTATTGAAAGTCTTTGACACCCCTCTATGGTAGGTGGGTAATTTTATTATGTTCATTCATGTCGGTATAGAGTGATCTCTATGGAAAGTGAATTAAAGTCATATGTGCATTTTTCAAATTTAGTCCAGCTTTGTCTGATATGGAATTATTATTTCACATAGAAGCCAAATTAAAGCTGCAAGCAGCGTTGGGCGGGCCCTCGCACTTGTAGCGCGTCCGGGTGTGAGCCGGCCAAGTTGCACATTCTGGAGCTCTGCTGGTGCGGCTGTGAATTTGCTACGCAGTTCCGACGCCGCATGAAGGTGCTATATGTCACTTCCTGTGTCCCCTATGTGGAGCTACATAGCACTTGCCGCTATGAATATAAATCTGTATTGGCATGTAGATGTCTTCGGGGTGGGAGGGTTATCAAGCACGTAAAGCTTGGTTCAGATGTGAGCATGTACACTGAAGTTACAACAACTTCCTGTGTCATGGCGAAGACTTGATCTTTGACGCCACGCCACGGACACACCCATTGACGAAAACTCGCAAATAGCACAACTTTTCATCGTCAATGCCTTTAGAAGGCACAGCAGAAATTTGAGGTCGGTCGGACTAAATCCCTAGGAGGAGTTCGTTAAAGTACGAAGTGTGTAAATCATCCAAAATTTGACGTAAAATTCAAAATGGCCGACTTCCTGTTGACTTTAGGCTATGGGTTCTTGAGGCTTTTTTATGCGTCTGGACAAGTCTCTTATTATGCATTTCTTCTTCGTCGTTGCATGATTTAGAATAATAAGGTGAGAAATGGGTCTATTCTGAGTTCATCCTGCACTGCAGCAGCTAATAAAGTCAATTTAATCCCAAAAACTCACCTTTCTCAAGTTGTACAGTAATGTCACATGTGTATGAAGGTGGATCAAACAAGCTAATCTTAAATGTCAAAGTAGAGAGGAGCCTAGTAGGCCTATTTATTTTCATTCATTACACAATATGAATAAGCTATGCAGACAGTTGTAAAGAAAGAACATCTTTTTCTTCTGTTCTCTACTTGTTATAGTTACACAGTATTAGGGGTGTGGGCTGTATTAAAAGTATCCACTGTTCTCCCATGCTCTAACACACAGTAACGATGAAATGTGTGCTGTTCTCACATTCTTCCTCTGTATGTACACATAAACAACAAGGCAGGGAAATATAAAAGGAATTTATTTTATTGTTTGGGTACATTATTGTTCAGTGTACATGCTCACATCTGAACCAAACTTTACGTGCTTGATAACTCTCCCACCCCGCAGACATCTACACACCAATACCGATTTATATTCATAGCGGCAAGTGCTATGTAGCTCCACATAGGGGACACAGGAAGTGACATATAACACCTTCATGCGGCGTCGGAACCGCGTAGCAAATTCACAGCCGCACCGGCAGAGCTCCAGAATGTGCAACTAGGCCGGCTCACGCGCGGACGCGCTACAAGTGCGAGGGCCCGCCCAACGCTGCTTGCAGCTTTAATTAGGGCCCGAGCACGACCGTGTGAGGTCCCTATTGAATTTGCTAAGATTATATTTTTAGGGCCCGAGCACGACCGTGTGAGGTCCCTATTGAATTTGCTAAGATTATTATTTTTAATTTTTTATTTTTTTATGCACCGAACCGGTGAAAAATTTCGTATTCTACAAGTTTCGCACATGGGCGTGGCAAAATGACTCACTAGCGCCACCTAGAAAATTGGAAAAGATTAGCCCCTCGTTCACGTTCAACCTACATGTACGAAATTTTCTGGGGACATGTATCATATCAAGATGCACAAAAAAGCCTCAAGAACCCATAGCCTAAAGTCAACAGGAAGTCGGCCATTTTGAATTTTACGGCCATTTTTGGATGATTTACACACTTCGTACTTTAACGAACTCCTCCTAGGGATTTAGTCCGACCGACTTCAAATTTGTGCTGTGCCTTCTAAAGGCATTGAAGATGAAAAGTTGTGCTATTTGCGAGTTTTCGTCAATGGGTGTGTCCGTGGCGTGGCGTCAAAGATCAAGTCTTCGCCATGACACAGGAAGTTGTTGTAACTTCAGTGTACATGCTCACATCTGAACCAAACTTTACGTGCTTGATAACTCTCCCACCCCGCAGACATCTACACACCAATACCGATTTATATTCATAGCGGCAAGTGCTATGTAGCTCCACATAGGGGACACAGGAAGTGACATATAGCACCTTCATGCGGCGTCGGAACCGCGTAGCAAATTCACAGCCGCACCGGCAGAGCTCCAGAATGTGCAACTCAGCCGGCTCACACCCGGACGCGCTACAAGTGCGAGGGCCCGCCCAACACTGCTTGCAGCTTTAATTTTATTCATTACCAAAGGATGATGATTTTGTTTGGACCTCTGTCTAAACTTTGTTGCATGCGATTTGAAGCCAAGCACAATCCATTTAAAAGACTAGCACATGCAGTTTGTAACTTTAAAAATGTGTCAAAGATATTGGCTTTTAAACATCAGGTTCAACAGATCTATCACTATAAGCATTGTGATAATATATCTAAGAAAATAGATGTTACCAATGCCTATCTTGTTAGTGTAGGGTCATTAAAAAAAGCTGATGTTTTGTTAGAAAACTTGAGGTTAACCCTTGAAACTGACCTTTCTTTGACCAGTACCATATTTGTGTCTCACAATGTTGATGTGTATGGCCAGGCTTATAGAACTGGTTCTATACTGCCACTGGGAACAGACCATAGAGAAGAACGTTTGTTTGGTGAAGTCATTCATATCTTGCCCCAGGCAGTAAATGAGTCGATTCTTATGTTTGTGAGGATCCTAAAAGTCAAGTACTTTGATGACCATTTTTATGCCTATGCAGTCCAAAGAACAAAAGAATATGTACTGATTACACTGGCTGAAACTTCAGATTCCGGCCTTTAGATATTATGACAAGCCTTGACACCAGTGAGCTGTATTTGAACCCAAGGTACAAAATTGTATAGCTTGAATGTTAGTTCACTACAGAAACGTATGTAATCATGTTTTTTTTTATTTATTTTTTTTTATGTGAAAGTCTAAAATCTAATCTGTAATAAATTTACATGAAAAAATGTTTCTTTCTTGATTGCACACGTGTAAATTGTCTACACAAAAAGTGTTCAGCTAAAAACACTGATGGTAGCTTTAGGTTCCTTGTCCCACCTCATCTCCATCCAGGCTTCCTGCTCTTTGCAGATATTTTCTTTGACTCCAGTAGCCCACATCTGGCGACAGAAATCCAGCTTCAGACAACCACATCCATGGTTTATGTAGTCCCATAGTTTGAAATTAGCATATTGTCACTGTCCAATGTATTCCAAAACACAAACTTTCTTTTATGAGCTAAGAAGAAGAGGCTTTGTTTCAGATTTATGACTCATTTTCAAATAATCCAGTTAGTTTTAAAGGATTTGCTTGAGTTGTGTCAAAAGCGTTTTATCTGAGCTACAGAGAAAAAGAACTGGACTGTTGCTCAGTGGTTCAAAGTCCTCTTTTCACATGATAGTAAATTTTGCATTTAATTTGGAAACTAGATTTCTGGAGAAATTGCGATGTGAATGCTGGTATCATTTTGAATGATACAAAGTTTTTGAAGTTTTAAAAATAAATTTCTGGGTTACAGTCCCTTCATGCAAGCTGTCATTTCAGCCTCTGTCTGAAACGAGCTGTAGATGCTCCCGTCTCTTTAAGACCCCCCACCCCACCAACAGCCCGCGTTGTTCTGATTGGCCAAGATCCTGAAGCAGGATTATTATGATTATGCTAAACACTGCAAAAAAATAAAAAAGAGCTTAACTGAAATGCTCGAAGCTGAAATGCACAAACAATTGATAAACATGGCAGAAAATAAAAAAAAAAGCTTAATTCAAATGTCTTCAAGTGTTGAAGCGCAATTGGACTGCATTGAACTGCTTAAGAACATGGAAGCTGATGAGAGTTGAAATACTTTAACAAGCTGAACGTTGTTACACAGTGAAACTACAAGTCTAAATGAGTTTGTCAAAAGACAAAAATGGAAGATGGTATTACATAGCTGAATCATAGATGGGAAAGTTTCAAATTGTCTAAGTATGAATGGGATGTAAAAGTTGAATACTGCCTATTATGTATTAAAACTGTTGAGCATTTTAAGGTTCAAGAAGGTGAAGAAGGCTCAAGAAGCTGGGTGTCACATCCTGCAGTTAAAGGTTCTGTGTGTGGGCTTTTATTTCGAAACATTAGGTCGGATAGGACATAACACAAACAATAGGACATCTTGTCACCATTGAGGGATTTTATCTTGAAAAATCAGCCTCATCCTGAATTCCCTGTTAAGATGCATTAACTGTCTGTGGTTTAAATTTGGAAGAATTTGGGTCAGGAGAACTATTGAGAAGCCTTTCTCAACCTGAATAAGATTAACCCAGTAGGGCTTTTATTTTGTAATTTGTGTGTGTGTGTGTGTGGAAGTGTGCGTTTCTGTGTGGGTGTTTTATGTTGTTTGTGTGTGTACATTTGTGTTTGTGTGTGCGCTTGTGTCTGTGTGTGTGTCTGTTTGTGTCTCTGTTTGTGTGTCTGTCAATCAAACTGACCTGATTACATCATCTCAATCAGCTGTGTGTCTACATTCTAAAGAAGTATTATTATTAGTAGTAGTAGCAGTAGTAGTAGTAGTAGTACAAAGTTGTAGTAGTACTAGTGAGTGCAGTAGTGGTGTTGGTAGTAGTACAAGAAGTATTACTAGTGGTAGTAGTATTAGCAGCTGTTGTAGTAACTACTGCATTACTAATAGTAGCAATGGTTGTAGTAATACCAGGTAGTAGTAGTAGTACAAGAAGTATTAATAATGGAAGGAGTATTAGCAGCTGTGGTAGTAACTACTGCATTACTACAGTACAAATAGCAGTAGTATTAGTACTGGTGG